GCCTGAGGTGGAGGACATGGCGGGCCCTTTCCAGGAGAGGAAGAGGGCTTTGGTTTCTTCACAGGTATCTTTGATGGTACAGTTCAAGGTCACAGGCTTCCCAGCTGCAAGAATCTCTGGGATGTGGAGCTCTGGGTTTTGAGTCAGGTCTACAGAAGAGAGGAGGAGGTGGGGACAAGGAGCCCGCATGGACACTTCACTGCTGCACAGTGTTTCCGGGTTGCAAAGTGCTTCCTCACCCGTTAGCTTCCTTGGAAAACCCCCACCTTCCCAACAATCTATGGAACCTGGGGTTGTTATTGTTGGGTGTTTTCTTTCTCTCTCTTTTTTTTTTTTTACAAAGATTTATATTTATTGAACACTGGGGATACAGTGGGAAATCAGAAACCCTCTTTTTGATTAGTAAGTTACATTCTAATGAATCTTGGTCCAAGGTTCTTGCCCCTATTCTAAGTGTTGCCTGGCTGCAACTGTTATTTAGGCCTGTCACTGTGTTTCACAAATAGATTTCCTTTCTCTGTGAGGAAGGGGCACACCCCATGGACCAGGTGAGCAAACCGAAGAGGCTTACTTAAGGTGGTAGAGCGTGAACCTGAACTCTGGTTTTCCAAGACTGAGGGCGAGTGGATTTTCTGAGGATCTACATTGCTGGTGATCCCTTACCTCCCAGACTAGACTAGACTAAAGTTCCTACTCTGTCTCCCTCCCCCCAGCCCAACTCTCTGCTTAGGCTCTGCCCCTTCCCAGCCCGATCTGTGATCATCTCCCCTCAATCCCTTACTGGTTGGGTGCTACTGAGCGAGTCACTTCTCCTCTCTTCACCATTTCTATCTGGAAAAATAAATTACCAACTGTACCTATCTTGTTGCATTATTGTAAAAATTAAATACCCAAGGTTTTGTAAAGCCCAGTGTCTGGCGAGGTAAAAACCACAACAATGACCGGAACCCCTTTTGGATTTCCTTCTTTCTAAACCACTTATTGCGTGAGCTGGGATGTCACCTGACACGGAGAGTTTGATACTCTCCCTCAGGAAAGCTCTTCTTTGTTCTCTTGGATCTGCATAGAGTAAGTACGTCACGCTGTCCCTTTTGAGTATGCCACGGATCAGCAGAGTACAGTCTTGGCCTTCAGGTTTCCCAAGAATGTGGAATCTGTCCTTGGCGTTGTCATCTACAGTAGCATTGGGTTCATCTGCAGCTGCAGGGGAGCTGATGTTTTTGTTCAGCCAGTGGCCCATGGTCATTGAATTGCTTGGGGATTCTTTGGGAAATTCAAATACACAAGGGATTATGGTGCACGGCCCCTCTTCCACTGGTATCTTCTTGACTTCCACCAAAACACGAGAAAGTAACCCTGTAAGGAGAGAGTCAAGTTTTGAAACAGACTCACCTGGCATCCTCCTGTACCCTACCTGTGCATTAAAGGATTAACCTTACCCAAGAAAGGCTTGGCACTTGCCCAGCCGGGAGGTGATCTCTAAGCCTTGGAACATCCTGCCTGCTAAGACTGTCTTTGTGTACCTGGGCCTTGGGCTACACCAAATAGTCTATGCTAACACTGTGATTTAGGTGAGGACCCTGGGCCCTGAGGTACCAGCTTGACCTGTGGATCGGCTGGAGACCAAGATCAGCCACCTTCATGACCAGCCTCCAGTAAAAACCTGGACATCAAATCTCGGGTGAGCTTCCCTACTTGGCATGTCTGTGCATACGGACACACGTTGTTGCTGAAAGAAGTAAGCTCTGTCCATGCAGCTCCACTGGGAGAGGGCAGCTGAACTTCCACCTGGTCTCTCCTGGACCCTGCCTCTGCGCCTCTTCCCTCTACTGGTTTTAATCTGTATTCTTTTGCTATAGTCAGCTGCAACCATGGGTGAAACAGTTCTGCTGAGTTCTGAGTCCTTCCTGTGAGTCACCGAATCGGAGGGTAGTCTCAGGGACTCCCAAACTGCACCACACCAATCCAGTCTGCTAGGTTTTTTGTCACTCTTGTTGGTATTAATTCTATCTTGTGCCTCTGGCCACATTGCATCATTTCTGCCTCTCAGTTTCTCAGTCAGAAAGATGGGTAGAGAAAAATGCTGGAATTTTCTTCTTTTTGTAAGGTTGAGTAGCATCCATTGTGTGTGTATATCTCACATTTTCTTTATCCATTCATCTGCTGATAGACACTCGGGTTGATTCCGTATCTTGGCCATTATGAACAGTGCTGCAAATAAGCATGGGGGTGCAGATGTCTCTTCAACATACCGACTTCAGGGAGCAAAAAGGAACTTTCTGAGATGATATAACGTTCTGTCTCTAGTTGGGGATGCGGTTACACGGGTGCCTGCCTTTGTCAAAACTCACTCAATCCTATGCATAAAACGTATGCATTTCACTGGGTGCAAACTTACCTTTTTAAAAAAAGGAACAAGTAATGAACTTCAATTTAGTGGGTTTTCTTTTTACAGCATTATAGTTAGCAATTTTGAAACTACCTTCTGTGTATTCTCGACTTGAAGAAATGAGTAACTACACTGGAGAGTAATGGGAGCCAGCCTTCCCACTGTCGGGGAATGGAATTACAAAGGCAGAAAGGAGGTGAGTAGAAGACACCCTGTGGTGGGTTGAGATTGGAGAAACTGGGTCAGCACGGTGGCTCATGCCTATAATCCTGGCACTTTGGGAGGCTGAGATGGGAGGATCATTTGAGGCCAGGAGTTCGAGACTGCATGTGTGTACTCATGATGGTAGACAGATGGACACAAATGTGTGTACAGATGCACACATGTGTCTTTCCTAGCTCTTTGTGCTACCTCTAGAAGCAATGGCATCACAGAAACAATAAGCACACTGGGCACCCAGGTAGTGTTTTCTAAATATTAATATCATTCTTCACTAAAATGAACCAAAAATCTTTAGAAAAAGGGTTGATTCCACAGTCGGTGCTGGGCATGTACAATATGAGACTGGAACATCTTGTGCCAGAAAGTAGCCAAGTGCTTAAAGAATAAGGCGGACACAGCACGCGGAACGAGGAGACTGAATGAATCAGCTCCCGCTCACCAAATCCGGGACAATTTACTCATCGGAACAATAGTATGAACGGATTATCCTCGAATGGAAAACCCACGAGTCTATAGTGACACAAATAATTTATGTATTCAATTGTATTGAAATGGAAACAGGTAGAGCTCTCCTTCACAATAGATCACCAACAACAAATGATAAAAGTGAACCAATAAATGAAGAAATGATGAGGTTAGAGAAGCCATCAGTAGGTGCTGAAACTGGTAGGTGAAAACGATGTACTTGCATAAATCTTTTAAGTACCTCACCGAAGATTACGTATGAATTACAAAGGTAAAAATGGTGGAGAAACAGGGAAGAGATTCCTCGAGAAACTAAAAGTAGAATTATCGTATGATTCAGCAATCCTACCTCTGGGTATATGCCCAAAGGATTTTAAATTGTTATGTTCCAGGCGTGATGGCTCACACCTGTAATTCCAGCACTT